TTTCTGGCAGCGTCTCGCGAAGTGATCTCATGCTTTTATATTCTTTTTAGCATTAAATCACTGAGAGTGAGAGCAAGAGAACGAATTTGCACCCCCCCTCCAACCCAATCTCTCTCTTTCTCCTCACCCCATACCTTTTTCTTAAAAAAAACACGTAAACTGTTGCCCGACATTAAGGCACCAGTAACATTCAAATCTGATGATCTCTTATTTAACTCTGAGATGTCGGTATGTCTACTTACTAGACACTGACAATTAATATTGATTTGTTTGTTCTTTTTTCGAGTTTTTCTCATTTATCATTACATATCTGCCTTACTGTATCTTGTTACTTACTGCATCTTCAATATCAAACCTTCATTCTTTTCTTAAAATGTCAGTCGCTAAATGGGTAAAACAAGCTTGTGAGTTGTAGCTTGATTGAAATCTTTTTCATGATGAAAATCCAAATTATGTTTAGTTTCAACTAAACTTGCTGTAGCAAAACAGGGAATAGGTCAACGACATGCAAGAGTTAAAACCTTTTGTAGTTGTTTTTTCCTCCATGTTCCCATCGTTGGGCAAGTCAGTTTGCAAATAATATAGGAAAACTCGAAGGTCTGTTCCAGAAGCAAGCAGCTCGTCCAATCAACAGCGCAATCAGCTGCTCAGATGACATCAAATATTATTCCTCCATCTTGAGCTGATCGCAGAATAGAAATACATGTTCATGTAGTCCACTGTCCAGTAGTGTCCAGCACACACATACACACACCACAACTACACAGTACACAAACATACAATAACAACATAGTTAACACACATACAGAACAAATAATGTAATCACGCATAAGGTATCTTTAAACAAACACTTCCACAGATCACTTTTACTTCATAGATATTTGGAGATTCGCAATCACATAGCAAAATTTTCAATTGAAGAATGTCAAAAATAAATGTCAATTTACAACAATCAAGTTTCAAGGACAATACAGTTCAGGAGATTATAAACTGTTGATATTTCGTGTGTTGATGACACAGCAAGGATTCCGGAAAGTACAGATAGCCTGCTCTGATTAAACACTGTATGTACATTGTAATTGTATACATTTTCTGAGGACGGATGGAGGCGTGAGATATCACTTTTTGCAACAAACTAGATCTCAGGCAGAAAGAACACAGAAAATCTTTTAACAATAACAAACATTTTTTAAAATGTAGGTGTTTTTACGCCCCCATGGATACAATTCAGATCATATCGGAGATGGGCTTCGACTGTTCCTGTGAGAGCCGACCCAGGCAGAGAGGGATACAACATCTCTGAAGAAAGATTGAGATACTCCACACAAATTCTCCACACTCAGGTCTCCTGCATGCGAAGGAGAAGCCCTTACTTTAACGTAACCACTACACCACACATAATATTTCAACAATAACAGACACACACTATATTCCAACAATAAGATACAACTGGAAGAAAAAGCAAAAATCTGTGCATCAAGTAGACAAAAATCTGGTTAAAAAACCCACTAAAAAGTAAAAATTGTTTATAAAAAGTAGAATACATATATATAGGGACTCCATATACCCTAGGAAAGCACAAAGTATTTTTCTTTCCACTGCACTTTGCTGGCACAGAATCAAACCACATTTTAAAATTAGAAATCATGAATTGAATCAGACATAACAAGCAGGAAAAAAGGGATTTACACAACCGTTAGTAAAAGCAGTTTTTGATAAAATTGTAAAAATGTTTGTAAAAATAAAATAATGTGTTTCAGTGTTCTTAGCATTTGATTTCAGAGTAAGTACAAAGGCCATGCAGAGCCATCTGCGCAAAACGTGAGGGTAAAATATACAAACATGAACAATGTTGGCAGTTTGATCTACCAAAACTTTATCATTTCAGTTTCTATTTCACATGATCAATTTCAATATTTTAAAGCAAAAAAATATCAATGAGAGGTCAAAACCTGTCAAAACTTGACACAGTGCTACAAAATAAATGCAAATTCATGTTTTGTCAAATCACATTGACGCCATACCCCTATCACTATTATCTTTCTCTCTCCAGTCACCCAAAGCAAAAAATATATTGCACAAAATTAAACCCAAAAAAATTATCAGCAAAACTTTGCGGGATACTGACATAGAAAATAGAAGGTACCTTACTTCTACATCCCGTGCAGCCAGCATTATTTCAACAGCAGCCAGTGACCTTTGTCAGGGCACATTTAAAAACTTAAAAACCGGGACAACAATGAAGCAACAGCAATGTCAAGTCAGGCAACAGTCCCAACTATATCTAAAAAAAAATGTAAAAAATTCCTATGGGATTCAAAAAGAAAAAAAAAAAGGTTTTCTACTTTCAAAGGATTTTTGTACACCTTTGTGTATGTTGACATCATTACTGAAATATAGTGTTCTCTTTTGTATGTCATGGGCCCACTTTCTTGATCGGGAGTTTGGAGTAAGTTTGCACAAGGATAACGTCACCATTCTTCAACAGAAGAGAAGAACTTTTATTTCTTTTGTGTTTTATGGCATTTGCAACACAATTAGGTCATATAAGTGCCAAAAATTAGAGGTGTTACAAAAGAGAAACGAACATAAGAAAGAAGGAGGAGCGATAAGGACAATAGATTTTTGATAGGAAAGAATGAATAAACCACACCGCAGCACCCACCAACCAACCATGAGAAGAAGAGTAACCATGAAAAGAATAAGAAGGAATTGGCAACATTAGAGCTACCATCAAACTCGCGCTAATTGTCTTTGAGGTGTAGTCATTACTGAGCGCATATGTAGAAATCTTACACAGTACTCTGGTCTCAAAGTTATCCACCTTATTGGCATGTTCACAAGGCACAGAGTGACAACCATTTTGACAGCTTATCAAAAGACACAATATTTTTCACAAAAGAGAACATTATGATTATACTTTGGGGAGGGGGGGGGGAGAAGGGCTAAAGAAACAGAAATATAGACAAACTAAGATTAAAAACAGACAAACCTTAGATTTTTCTGAAGTTGGCATTTAAGTAAATACAAAGAATAAAGTTAATCATTGAAGTAAGTACAAGAGGCATGAAAATCGACCATAAATCACAGACTCTATTTTTACAGTAAGCTAACTCACCGTGCCCAAAACCCAAGTTAGATTAGTTATAATGTTCAATAGCAAATACTGACTTTTTGTTGAATACTTGACAACTCACTGGCATTGATGGAAGAAAAGATATATAGACAGATAAGACAGATATAGACAGATATAGACAGAAGCAGAAACAGACTGATTTGCCCCATTAATATCAGAGTTTTGCTCCTTCAAGGCGTCACAGTGATTTACTACATCAGCCTGGCCCCACTAAAGTTTTTATCAATCAACATAAAAAAATCAATAAGTTCATTACATCATTTTCATTCCACAAACACCCAAGCCATATATATTTTGAAATTTTGAGAAAATTAAAGAAAAAGTGAGTGCCTAAATCAGAACCATGACTTGGACACTCGTACTTTTGTTGAGTTCAGAATTAGGACAGAAATAATGATAGCGAATGGAATGATATTATATGATGTCCCTTGATGTCTATATTCAAATAACCACTTTATCTGGGTTTTCTAAAAAGTTAAAGTGAAAGTTTTACAGCATTTGCAACACAGTTATGTTATAAAAGTGTCAAAGATGAGAAGTGTTACAATTACAAGACAGAGTTAACCCCAAAAAGAAGGAGAGATAAAAACCATAAATATTTGAATTGATAGGAGAGAAAAACCAAACCACATCAGAGCACCTGCCAACCACCCTCACTTTCTTTGGAAAACTCAAAAAATTGATTTGGGCGATGGTGGGATGACGCTGATGACAAGTCATCGCAGGCAAGAATCACACTCAAAAATACCTCACAACATGAAATATTTCACCAGCATTCAAAGTCACGAGTACATTGGAAGAGATGACTAGAAACTTTCAATGACGATAATTTTCTACAACACAAACAAGACAAAAAAAATGCAATATTTTAAAATATTTTGAACACTACTCAATTCCCCCGCCTTGTTTGAGAGAATCACATCCTAAAGGCACCATTGTGATACACAGCTCTCACCAGTAATTAATCCACTCACCGAAAAGAAACAAAATTCAGGCAAGAGAAGATACAATTAAAAAGATACCACAAGACAAGACAAATGAAGTAAAATATACATGATAAGATGGGACAAGACGAGATAAAACAAAGTTAAAAAAGATAAGTTGTGATAAGAAGAGTTAAAAATATTATTTATCACAGGACAGAACAGAACAAGGTAAGAGAACATAGTTATGTACATAAGAATAAGAATGATTTTTTTTCCCGTGAGCCAACAGCGGCAAAAAAAGAACTCTATCACAAACAGTAGAATATACATACAGTGAGAACATCAAGAACTCTATCGCAAACAGTTTACCAAATACACATTGAGTACACAAAGAAAAACCACATCCCTACTGTCCTTGGAAACTCTCACAAAATAAATGAACAGATGCATTTACAGAATTTCATGGCCAACATTTCCATATATTAGTATTTCAAATCCACAGCGCGAGGAATGTGTAGTTTTTTCAAGCATAGTATGACACTTACATAACATTGTAGCTTCTAGCACAATATGAGTCTCGACGCGGTGGAATCAGGCGCTTGTCAATTTTTGGGCATATGGAGTTATTAGTATCATCTTAGATCTTGTTCATTTGTCTTGCTTTTGATGAAAAAATTACCAATTTATCTTCAATAGAAGTCGAGATATGTTGAATAGAAGCAGGTGAGGTCACTTGGTTTCAGAAGTAATATTAAAGAGAAAATGGCAGTCAAAGTTTGGCGACTTTCAAAGCTTGAGAATCATTGGAAACTAAATTTACGTTTTTGTGCTTTTAATCAACAATTTTCAGTAAAAAGCCACACAGCAATGTGTTTTTAAATGGACATAAAAAGTGCTGAGTCAAAAAAATGAAAATTCGACAAAAACTGCTAAAGGGAAGAAAAATGACATTTTGTTTGATTTCATTGTTTTGACAAGCGCCTGATTTCACCATGCTGCCTCACATAGTACATTGACACTTGCATGACATTATGGAGAAGGACGGGACAGGATAAGGCAAGACAACAGACAGCAAACCTGAGTGACCAAAGGGAGGTAACCTCTCAACACACTCCCAGAATTGGCCAACTGGAGCCAGTCACATATAACTGTTTCTGAAACAGTTGCAACACATATTGGTGGCACAAACTCTTGTCTTTTGTATTTAACCCCAAAGAGATCATCTTTGCAAAAACATGACACTGCTTACTGAAAGAACACGGTCGGAGCAGTGTGTACTTATAGTAAGTAAATTTCTTCTCACAAGCTTTTAAGAAACAGGGTTCTAATATATCTTTTGTCTCTCTGCGATGAAAGTTGTTGATTTGCAGATGAGACAATGGAGTTAAATAAAGGGGACAGAAGACAAGATGGAATAAAATAAAATAAAATAATTTCAGATAAGATTTCCATCCCTCTTCGCTGAAATTCGTTGATTTGCAGATTTTCTCTGCATGTGTAAAGAAATTGTGTCCCAAGATAATTCCAGGTTCTCACGTCCACAGAGCCAGGATCAAATTTAGCTGACATTCAATAGACCATGCACCCAGCTAGTTGCAGCATTTGGATGACTTCTTCTTGCGTTCGTACAAGTCTGAGCTGGATCGTTGCACTTCTGTTGACAAAAGAGGGAAGGAAAAAAGAAATCTTTAAATTAACCACACGTTGTAGAATTAAGCCTGCAGCAGGAAAAAAGAGTTTTTATTGAACGGACAATCATGAATTGTCCTCCATTTATGAGGTCCATTTAGTAAATTTCCCAAGTCCATAAAATGTGTTGCTAAGAAATTTGGCACATATACACACTGCACATCAACCCATTTAAGATTTTTTCCACTAAGTTTGCATCCAAAATATAAATCCACCATAATGAACTGTGCGTTTTTTTTACTCTAATAATCAAGAAAATATGGAAAGCTACATTCCAATTCATGAGAGTAGCTGGCCTCCTGACGTCGACCAGTTGGAGAGTACTTACGAATGAGGTCGTTCCCAATCTTTTTTGATGGAGCGAAGCCAGCCTCCAGTTCTTTCTGTAGGGATGTGTCGAAGGACATGCATACTGCTCGGAAGAAAAAATCTTGAACATTTTCCCCTGAGGAAGAACAAGAAAAAGCACAGAGGATATAAAACAGTGAAGTAAAATGAGTAGAAAAATGCTGTGGACAATAATCTTTCAAGTTTCACAAAGTTTCTGGTCATTTAGTTTTTCCAGATGATAGATGTAATGAAGAGGCCCATCAAAGAAGTAGTTAGTTAAGAAGATGGGAGAGTTTTTTAAACAGGTGTACACAAGATTCACATAGGACATCCCTTAGTTGACAGAGGCATCAAACAAAAATACCTTGTCTCACATCATCATAAGGGCCGGTTTCGATATTTCTCAATCGGTAAGCCGTTACAACTTCATGATTTTCAGCCCACAAAGTAGATATCTTTTTAAATGAAAAGTTGAGCCCTAGAATTTTATCACCTTTTGAAATGTCATGCACAATTATGTCATTTTCCCCTCAAAACAGGAAGCCCCCCACACAATTTCTTCTCTATCCCCTAATAAAAATATAAAAACCAAAGCAGACAGATAAAGGTAATTGTTCTTCAGTGGGTGCTGGAGAGAGTAGGACAACCCACGAACTGCCAGATCAGTTACAAGAGAATTCTATTCCAGGCCCAGTGTGTGAAACTGTTTCATTGACATACCATTCTTTGAAGAGGTGGCCCAGAATTCTGCCTCCATTTGACTGGCATATTTTAACGCCCTCGTTTCAATATCACTGTAAGCTGCTGGAGACTGAAAGGCAAATAAAAAAACTGGACTGAAATTAAAATGTAAAAGCACATCTATTGCACAGGCACCATTCCAAATTATATGCACATCTTACTGATAAAATGGCCAAGTGACATTGAATGCAAAAATATCTTTCACATTTACAAAATCATAATAACTGTCTATTCTACACCATGAGCCAGAAAAGCTCACTGAAGATTCTACAGCATCAAATGGCCCTTGACACCAAGTTTATAAGAAATACAATTTAACTAGTAATACCCTTTCAAAAGATGTCCAAAGTTGCACTCGAGAATATTTACCCACAGCGCGATGGGACAAATTTCATTCAAGACTACTTTTGCCCTAGTTCAAGCTGCACTATTTTCAAAGCTTAAATTTTTTTACAAAGCTTTAGTTTTACCTTGCAAGAAGACGAAAAATGAACAAAATTTTCACAACTTACAAGTTTTACAAAGCTTTAAATTTATAATGCAAGGAGATGAAAGGTGACAAAAACTTTAAAATCTTGCACCTATTGCTCAGCTCACATCAAGTGCAGATACACCAAAAATTCTCAAACTTATTTCCTCTTAAAACAATGATGCAGAATACCAATCTATCAATATTTGCTAAGAATAATTAAGCTTTTGTTTTCCGCAATCTATCAATATTTCCTCAAAATGTTTGTTTTTGTTCTTCCCCAACATACCAGCAAATCTTTCTTGGTCCCGACTAGAAACTTGACAGGTTCGTCAGCAGTGGCGCACGCATCCTCCATCCACTTGACTGTGTGATGAAGACTTTCCTCATCAGTCATGTCAAACACAACGATCACAACTGGGGGAAACAAAATGTCGCACTTTCAGCTACAAGCGTAAAGCTTTCACTACAAGTATTGCAGCTGGCATCTGTGGTTTAGCCAATAGGAACTTTGCTGTCACATGCCGGAGACTTGAGTTCGATTCCTGATGAGGCAGAAATTTTTCTCCAGTATCTTAGGTGACCAAATCATTTTATTCTCAGTATTTCTGAGTCTTGTCTGCATTACATAGAAAGACAGAGAATAAAATGGTTTGGCCACCTGTTACGTATGTCACCTGGCCAGCCAGCCTGGAAAACCTACAACACCAAGCATGCAGGCTATAAAGGAAGAGGAAGGTCATGCAAAAAGTGGATCGAGGGTGTCAAGGAAACCCTAAGAAAACATAATATCACAACTGAAAGAGCTGCGGAGCTGGCCTACCATAGAAAACTGCATCTCCCCTTGACGCTTCAATATCTTCACTAAACAATTTTTCTTATATTGACTTTTTTTTCGGTTCATTCTGCTTTATCGACATGCTTTCTGAGTACTTGGCGAAGCCCACGAACATAAATGGGGGAAAAAGCCATACTAAAGGTCAACGCATTAGTTCTTCATTAAGTCCGTATACCACCAAGTAGCCTATTATATTGACACCAGGCTTTAGTAGGTCATGTAGGGCCAACACAGTGTAGTCTCCAACACAGTACAGTGCCTCACAGACGTGAGCGTCTCACCCGCTGGGCATCACCTCCCTACCCCAACTCCCGATCGCTCACTCCCCTTCCCGATCCCATTCTCAGTCTGTCGTTGGCAAGTGCCACTGTCAGTGAGTCAGTGCCTCCCTCACCTTTCCATATTTCCCAGCAAGCAGCCATAAACAGGCCTTGCAAGGATGCTACAACAAAGTTTGCACTGGTGTGTAGTGTGCGCCTCGTGTTGCTCGGTTGTTTCAAGAATCAGGGGAAGCAACCAGCTATAAAAAAGTAGTGTTGTCTTTTACTGCTGACCTCCCCATGTTTTTTCCTCTTTGGCTTTATCTTTTCATTTATATATCGACATCAAATCCACTTCCCACAGCATGTCGATATAAGTGGATTATACTGTAAGTATCTCAGCCTTTCTGCTGGAATGTTGTATCTCTTTCAGCATGGGTTCGCCTTGACAGGCAGGGTAAGAAGCCTGTTTTTTAAATGATCTAAATTGTGTCAATGGGTGCGTAAAAACATGTACATCTAAAAAAAAGTGATACAGTAACCTTTTCTCAAACTCTTCAGTAAAGAGTTTTACGGCACTTGCAACACAATAAGGTCATATAAGTGCCGAAGATTAGAGGTGTTACAAGAGAGTAACAACAAACGTAAAAAAGAAGGAGGAGAGATAAGGACGATAGATGTTTAAATAAGTTATAAGATAAAGTACTTAAATTGTTTAGCAAAAAAGCACACAACCACAAAAACTATGAGTTTCTTGGAAAGCAAACTATGAAGAATAAAAGCACTTTAGATGGATAATTCTACATGGCCGTCTATTGTAAGGCCAAAGGAAGTTATGGCATGTTCTACACAAATACAAATATCTGTTGTAAGGACACAGGAAGAAGTGTCGTGTTCCTTGCAACCATCAGCTTTCTGAGCCCCCATTTTACTTCAGCAATCAGCTGAATTATCCTTCCAAGGAGAGAAATTATTTTCTTCTTAGATCTATCAGAAGCGAGAAGAGAGAAGAAGAATCCGTCACCATCATTCATCATTGTAGCATGTCCAGATTAAAAATTTAAAAAATCAAATATATTGTAAAGTTCAACAAGGGGCATTGATTGATCCATAACAAAGATTTAAACGAAATCAAATATTTTGTATGAACATAATGTCCTGCCTGAAATAAAAGTTTTTTTGCTTCTTCGGAAAAGCTTGTATTTTGACATACGACAAAGATAAATGACAGCGATGAACAATCTGCCACAAGCCCCAGACTCACTCTGCGCTCCGCGGTAGTACGACGCTGCGATACACTTGAACCTCTCCTGGCCTGCTGTGTCCCACCTACAAAACGGAAGAAAAAATCCCCAACAAATTAATCATTTACTACCAAATTCTACCTTGACTATCAATATTTTATTTAAAGAGGTGCAAGCTATCGAAATTCAACGTTATGCAAATGTTTAACGCGGAGCTCACAAAAACAAATTAAAAATTTTTTGAGCCCCATACAACTTCCAGAAAAACATTATTACACAACTCAGTCTACTAGATAGCATAAAAAATGTTTTAAAATTCAAAGCCAAACTGATTATTCAGCAAATCTTTATAAATGATCAAAATAGAAGTCCATTATTTTTAGAATAATATTTGTGTGAGCCATAACACTAATAGCTCACAGACTGTAGATAACACGTTTCAACAAACAGAAGCACACACATGTGGGGCATTCACAACTATTGACACACTCAGTGTATGATTATCCAGGCCCATCATGGAATATTTCACTGACACACTCAGTATACCATTATTGAATCTCATCTTGGACTAATTTACTGACTTTTAGTTCAGTTTTAGTAAGGCTTTACTGCGCTCGCAATTGCATAAGGTCATATGAGCACCAGTACCGACTTTACACACACTGAAACAAAGTAAATCTTTTGAGTAGTAACAAATTGGAGCAAAGTCAAATCCTATTCATACACATATATCACTTTTTCCTCAACATTTTGCAGTGAAAAGTAAAGGGAAACCATTCCATTGTAGTGTCAAACAGATGAACACTCAAAGAGTCAAACAGACAAACATTCAAATAGACTTTTTCTAAGTTACAACAGTGCCTTGTTACCTAGCCCACCACAGAACTTATCACACTGAAGGTGAGAGGACAAACTTACACTTGTAGAGTGATGTGCACCCCCAGGACACTGAACTTTTCCACCTCAAAGTCAACACCGATAGTGGCCTTGTACTCTCGGTCAAAAACATCGTGGCAAAACCTGAAAATTCACAAAACTTCACGTCATAAGACAGCTCCAAAATATTATAGTTTCAAGTCCTTTATAACTCTTTTTTTTTTTTGGGAAAGTGTTTTACGGCGCTCGCAACTGAATAAGGATATATGAGCGCGCGGGACACACCAAACATTTTCAATTAGTAGGAAATTTTGAATTTACAGCTGCTGAGCTGATGTAATTTTTCGAGGATTTTTGGGTAGGGGGTTGAAGATGGAAGGGTTTCCTAAGTATGCCATTTCTGGCTATTCAAGCCTAAATTTAACAAGAAAATAAGAGAGAAAAAAACATACCTTGCATACATAATTTTCTGCTTGTGTTAATCCATAAAAATCCAAGGCTATGCTTTCTCCCTTGTACTAATACTGTACATCCATAAACAGTACTAGCAGCTACATTTAAATAACTTGACAGCTTATATTCAACTTAAATCCACAACAATATTTACAAATAAACAAGTTTAATAAAAAAAAAATAAAGCTCTCTTTAGAGTTTTCTTTTCTTGGCAGGCCCAAGATCTATTGAACCACATTTCTTCCTCATTGTTTACAGAGCTGGTGATCTGCTGCTTGTGCTTTAGAAAGTAAAAGTAAAAGACGCTGTCTAAACTTTCAAATAAAAAAGCATTTCCGGTATGGGTTGGCTATAGTTGACTATTAGTAATTACGGGCATTTTTTATTACGCATTAAAAAAAATATTTTTTTAAAAACGAGGATATATTTCAATTTGCGGAAATCCGCAATTTTGCGGAAGACTGGAAACACTGAATTTTGCCCGGGAGGCGGCCGAAGCCTACTCTTATCGATTTTGGACCACCATGGGATCTTTAATGTGCGCAACTTGCACATGTGACCTCTGAGATTTTTCGCCCTTGTCCGAGAAGGCCAGGGGTAGATCTTTCCCACTAGAAGATCAGGGGTGTGGCTGAAAGACAACAGTAAGAAGGAACCAAAGAGTAGCAGTAAAAAGGCTGCAGAAAGAGTTAGGAGCCCAGTGGAGGGGGGCAAAGGAGGTGAGGGGGTGGGGGGGAAAAGAGGAGACGAAAGCAGATGAATATTGCAAGAGAGAAGGAAAGAAGGTGACAATTTTGAGAAGAACATTTTCTGTCGCTACCCGGATTAAAACCCAGGACCTTTGAATGACAGGCGAACACCTTAACCTCTAGGCCATGAGAGCCCCTTATGACTCTTTAAAAGGAGAGTGTAAAAGAAAAAAGTATAAAAGTAAAGTAAGTTCTACGAAAAAAAATCCTCTTTGTGTGAAATATCCATCACAACATAATCACACCGTCTTTCTCCAGGTGAGGAATGATATAATGGCCCAAAATTCCTTAGTGTTAGCAAGATCTGTTGGAATTTGTTTTAGTGTGTCAAAGGAAGCTGCAATAATAATATATATAATAAAGACGTTGAAAAATAGGGATTTAAAATTCTTTTATGTTAACAGGAGTTTGAGTTTAACTGTTTTGAGTTGAACAAGGTCTACGGTATACTGATATATTTTTATATTGATTATCATGAACGTCACAGTAGAACAGGTTTTCTCTAAGAGGAATGCTGAAGCAGAGTATGTACCCTTGGCAAAAAGAAATGTTGGCACCACTACCAAAAAGCCGAACATCGAATTGTGAAGATTCAGGTCACTCACCTATTGACTAGACATGTTTTCCCGACAGACACGTCCCCGACAAGAACAGCTTTGGCTATTTTCAACCTGAAAAATTAAAAGAGAAAAACAAACTTACTTCAACTGCCAAAAAGCTTTCATTATATATAGTAAAAAATTGAACAAAGCACAGAGAGAGAGAGAGAGAGAGAGAAGATTGGTTAGATTCTAGACTTGATGATCATCTCTCATGTACAGGAGCCCAGTACACATTCAGCTACACACAGGCCTGGCCAGTCGGTTGATGACAAGACTTTACTCCAGTCACAGGATGACAAGATGTTGCTCCAGTCATTCACTTTACAATTCCACAGGAAGGCAGAATCTAAAGCTACCAGATCCTTGTCATTCCCCCCCCCCAAAAAAATATGAAAAAACGCAAGGGTCTCAAAGCACCTGAAATGCACTGTAGAAAGTCAAAGATGAGTAGGGCTGCCCTAACTGAAAACCTGGGTGAAATTATTTTTTCAAAAATCTTCCCACAAATTAAAAAACTTTAGTGACAGAACACCAGAAAACAACATACAACTGATTGAAATACGATGGGTTTTATTGTATAGTGGGAAGAGAGGCCATAAATACAGCATAATGTAACAGCTATGCTATGCTCGTCAATGCCAACTAGCAGAGCTGGGCCCAAGGCGAGAGAGATCACAACCTTGTCAACAAACAGAGGAAACAAAGAACAAATATATAACAACATCAACTTACCCCACACGACCTGTTTTGTTTTCTGCGCAAGCTGCTTTAACTTTGGGATGAAAATTGACTTTCTGATAAGGAGTGGCATCAGGATGGAAAGCCTGTAATCAAATATCAGAAAAACCTCAGCTTGAGATTGGCATATTATCACAATAAAGGCCATTTAGTGCCCAAAAGAAATAACAAGTGTGGAAGCAAAAAGCGGATAGCAAAGAAAAAAACCCCTACCAGTAGCATTTCTCACTCGCCCACAGGAAGCTTCAAACCAGCGTAAGCTAATCTAAATTGGGAGGGCAATGAGAGAGGCACTAATCTATAAAATAAAAAGTTGGCTAGAAGAAAGAAAATCGACAATATTAAATAGCAAAAAGACAAATATAATACATCTACCTATGCTAAATATAATGAATGACCTAACAGGTTTTGGTCGTTCATTCTGCTTTCATGCTATAGAAAGTTTATTATATGAAACTTAACTAAGCACTATCTAGTTACCCCTAATACTAATGTAATAGTATGGCAAGGTACACGTGGAACACACACAAACAAACACTTTAGCATTTAAGTCAGGCTGTCTGTTTTTAAAATATTATACGCAAAAGGGTTTAATACAACATCAATGAGCTCTTGTAATAAATTGACAAAAAGTTTTCTAATACCACCACAGGGGTAACAGCAACCTACGTTAGGGTACCAGACGACCTAGCTTAGCTATGTATCAGACTGATAAGATTAGGGGTAGCAGATGATCTACTTGAAGGGATCCAGAAAAATTTTAAAACAACACTGACCTGTGTGAACTTTGTGATGACTCTGTCCGAAGCAACGGCAGACACAATCGTACGCCCAGATGACATCTTGTTTCTTGGCATTAACTGCTGAGGACTTGTAGCTGAAATTCAATTCTTCAAGAGCACGAGTCGAATGTGAGCTGACCTGATGAGCAGTCTTAGACTTCTCTCTTAAGACATCAAAAGTTTCAAATGTTCCAAAACTCCTCAATGTCAATTTTAGTTTATTTTGTCATCATTCTTTCATTATTGGCCTGTATCCACTTTCAGCAAAGCAAAGTCAATTCTGAGGAAGACAGAATAAGGTGATATTCATGATTTGGCTAGTGTGTGCTGAAATCCTCTTTAACACTTTGCCATCACATCTCGCCGATAGGCTAGAACATCGAACTTCCTCTCCCGCCACAAAACGCAGATCGGCGATGTTTAGTTTACCACCCAGTTTCTTGGGATTTCCTCTAAAAAGCCTGTAATGGCATGGGATTTTACTTGAGCCTTGTGATGGCAAAGTGTTAATCGATCCAATCCTGCCAATGCGCACACGCTATCCAAGATAAGTCCATTTAGCTTAGACTCACTGTTATACACTACACATTTTTATTTTGTCAACCTTTGAGATTTACAATAAATTGAGCAATCTTGCCAGGCTCTGCGGTCTGCAGACATCATGTAGTGTACAGCTCGATTCATCTGTGTACATCAAAATGTAAGTACATCAAAGGCTTATATCACCGAAAGACCAGCTTTAACTAAGGCAACAACCACACAACTCCGTGGCAACTCAGAGAAGCTCCAGAAGCAAAAAAGCAGATTGTGAGTGAGGGCAAACTTCTTAGAAAATAGGGTGAATGTTATTTGGAACAATCTCTCCGAGTCAGTGGTGTCAGCTCCAACGGAGGTCACATTCAAGAGACGTTTGGATGAATACTGGAAGGATCTCCCGACGATCTACAACCCCACTTGCCAAGATTGATTAGTCTAGCTTGCTCGAACAGGCTCTTCTTGAGCCTCAACCAACTATATATCATCAACATCAACATTTAGTGTAGCCTCCATGATTACATGAGATAAGAATTATCACAAGCGGATAGTTAGAGAAAGTTAGGAGTACGCCATTGGCAGATATAAATAGTAACAGCCATCTGGTTTGTCTCATAAAATAGGGTTCTTCATTCTGACAAAAGACATAAAAGAAATTCCAGACCTGCTGTCTCACTGTCTGATCAGAAAAAAAAAATGTGGAGTAAAAAAATAAAGCTTTTTAAAAAATCATTTTAGCAAAGTGTTATGATAATGTTCATTATTATATTATAGATCTAGATCTATTATCTATGTACCATGTTAAAGCTAAAGGTTAAACAAGATGGCTGTTACTATAAAAGGGAAGTGGCTATCCTCACCCCGGTTGAGAATAAAAATACGATTGACCTCTCACCCCGGGTGAGACTTGCCAGCGTTGGCTATTCTCACCCGCCTGTTTTTCCTAATTTCGGAATGCTGTCTATCGGTGTGGATGATCAGGTAGACAAAAACAAAGAAAAAAAAGACGTTATAGCACAAAAGTAAGCTAACTTGGTCGTCTACAAAGATGCTACAGCTATTTCACTTTTCGAATTGAGCTGAACTACGCGGGTAGCCATTTTGTTGTGCCCAAAAGTTCTCGCAAGATCTACTCCTTCTCACTCTCTCTCTCTCGCACTCTCTTTCTGAATACTGTCTATCGATGTGGACGATCAAATTGACAAAAGGAAGTGGCTAGCCGCTAGACTTTCAGTCTAGCCGTACTTAGATCTAGGTTTGGCCCAATCGACTCAAGCCTGTTAAGTACACAGGTCTCATTAGATCTAGATCTAGTAATTATTCAGGTTCAAATACATGCAAGTCAGTAAGGCACCTTTTGGTTTAGTCTGAAATACAAATACTTAAGGCATTGCAAACTAAAAATTTCATTTACAATTCAGTCATCAATATTAAGTACGGCTAGCCTGACAGTCTAGCCGTCCTTAAGTACGGCTAGCCTGGCTGTCTACCCGTACTTAAGTACGGCTAGACAAGAAGTCTAGCCGTACTTATCTTAGGCCCTATTAACATTAGAAAACAGGAGGTTTAAAATACATGCACTGTCATTAAGGCACATGGTTTTGTCTCAAATACAAATACTTTAGGTACTGCACACTAAAAATGTATATTTACTATTCAGTAGGCCTATTTTTTGTAAATGGTCAGTCTAGCCATCATATTAAGAATAAGTACGGCTAGACAAAAGCAAAGATAAGAAATGATGCTAAAACACAAATTAGACCTGCATGTGAGCCTCAACCAGATTGTCTGAAAATTTTGTGCACCTCCCCCCCACCCCCAAAAAAAAGCCTTTGTGGGTGTCATAAGGAAAGACATCCGAGTAACGAGCGACCACCCCAACAAACACAATAAAGAAGAGACCTAACCCTAACCCTACCCCCAAAAAGAACCTGCGACGGGCCTCATGTAAAAAGGCCAAAACAAGTCCTAAATGAAAAAAAAATTTAAAATTAAAAAACCACACTCCAAAACAAACAAGGAGCATATAGATATAGATCTATATGGCTCACATCTACATTGCTGTAGGGTTTAATCTAAATAAATCTAGATCTAGATCTAGATCTTGTAGAACAAGTGAATAGGAATAGGCCTTGAAATAGAAATCCGCATCCCATTCTGAACAGAGGGACTCAGCTGAGTCTATCTAGATTCTAGATCTAAATAAATAAATAATTCAAGCACCTGATGAAATGCTTATTTTTACCTATATTTAACAGCATAACCTATGATAGGGTTTGACAAAATAAAATTGGAACATGAATCCTCCATTGAGGTCTATAATTTGATCTAAATAAATCTAGATCTAGATTCTATTAGAACAAGAGAGTCAGACTTGAATGAATCCACACGATCTGAACGTCAACAAACGAAATTCAAAATGGCCGCTCGAGCACGAAACTGAAAGTAGATAATTTAGGTTGTCGTCCTTTTTCGTATTCGTATTTCTACTTAGGTTCCGACAATTATGTCGGAAACGCCGACGTCGGCAGTGCGCGCGTCGGCACGAAAACGAAAGTGCCGACAAAGCCGACGGGAGAAAAAGGGGTCGCTGGCAGTGGGCCAGGCCTCGCACCTGCTCGCACTATGCACATTGACTCATACAGGCGGGCCTAGCGATAGCATCGGCCGGTTCGCGGGTCGGGTCGTGATTGTCGGATTTCAGACGATTGTCGGCAAACATGCAGGTCTATCAAAAGTAAATTAATTTTTGTCGTCTACAAAGATGCTACAGCTATTTAACTTTTCGAATCGAGCCGAACTATGCGGGTCGCCATTTCGTTTTGCCCGAAAGTTCTC